AATCGATAGGTATTGATGAGAACAATACATTTCAGTTAAAATTTGTTATCTAGCATGAAAATTGTGGGCGTCACAGGTTTTCGCGGCTTGTGGGCGTTAGAGTGGGCGTGGCACTCTGCTGAAACAAACTTGCGCTGCGTAAGAAGCTCAGGAATCTGCACGCCAAATCTCAATAGCCTAGCTCCCATAGTTTCCGAGATCTCAGCGTTCATCCGGACGGACAGACAGACGGACAGACGTACATGGGAAGATCGACTCGGCTAGTTATCCTGATCAAGAATATATATACTTCATGGGGTCGGAAACGCTTCCTTCTGCCTGTTACATACTTTCCGACGAATCTAGTATACCCTTTTACTCTACGAGTAACGGGTATAAAAATAGCTAAAATAATGGTGTGTAAATAAACAACGAAGACGCAGAATTAAAATAATCCAGAGAAAGAGCACAAAACTTTAGACGGCGAGGAAAGCGGCTCTGCACGCATTTCCTGCGCTGCTCACGGATTTGGAAAGGGGTTCAGACGGTGCAATAAATTCGAACTTCATCCCTTTTCGACAACGACCAGCATAACAAAAACCACAAGCCCTACCCCAGAAGGTCTGGCAACTTGCAAAAAGAGCAAGAGCGTAGCGGGCAGTCTGCAGCGGCAGATTCCGAAGAAAAGTTCGTGTGGCGGCCGTGCAATGGCTTTTGACGTCATCGAGGACGTGCAACGGTTTTGCCCATAATGCACATGCACGGAATGGGGGTTGGAGTTGATGGGGGCGAATCGTGCACGACTTTGTCGGGTCGTGGGTATCCGCCTGCCACTTCCCTTTTGGCTGCTGCCCCTTCTCTACCAGAGAAGATGATGAGCACAGTGGGCGTGGCCAGGCATTGAGTGGAATTTGGATTCCGATTTGCTGAAAAGAGTATAAATCATTTTTATAGTTGGGTCGTTGCCGCATGTTCACCAACAAAACTGTTTGTGAATTCGAAAGGCATAGTGTACTTACTTACTCAGAAGAGTGTATGTACATACATATGTGAAACAAGAAAGAAAGCTAACTTCGGCATGCCGAAGTTTCTATACCCTTGCAGGTCGTTCCCGTGGGAGCATTCTATGCACAGAGGGCTATCCTATTTTTAGAAAACTAAAAACTAATTACAACAATTTGAAGAGAATGTTCCATTTTAATGTACTACTGTGTATGTTGGCCGAAAACGAAATATAACGGTCTATGTATTAATTTGACATTAAAGCTCTGATCGTTCCTATTTGATTAAGTCGTCCGATTTGATTCAAATTTTCTTCGAAACTCTGAAATATTAAAAAATAACATTCCCCGGATTAGAAGTTAATATGTAAAAAAACAACATGCTTTCAAAAATTAATTTTTTGATCATTTCTATGGGAGCTATACGATATAGTTGTCCGATCTGGCTCCTTCCGACATTTATACTACATGCAACAAAAATAAGACTCACGACCTTCATACACTCAGAATAAAATTCACCCTAATGTTAAGAAAATCGCCCGTGAAAAATTTGGATGTTTTTCTTGAGATGTTCTTGAAATAATGGTAACTCTGCACTTAATTGTAGAAAGCAAACACCTACTTTAAATATTTTTATACTTTTTGATGGCGGTCTAGCTGTTAGATGCGGTCACTAAACTGTTGTACAAAAGTAGCTGGTTCGAGTTCACGCCACGACAAGTGAGCCTTTACTTATTTATATCCTGGCTTAGGTTATTTAGTTTTGATTCTCATTAGTTTTATTATATCCGATACTAGTAGAGTATACTATATTCGTCGGAAAGTATGTAACACGTAGAATTAGCGTTTCCGACCCCATAAAGTATATATATTCTTGATCAGGATCACTAGCCGAGGCGATCTAGCCAAGTCCGTCTATCCGTCTGTCTGTCTGTCCGTATGAACGCTGAGATTTAGGAAAATGTTGGGACTTGGAATGTAGATTCTTGGTGTTCCTAAGCAGTTTGTTTCAGCAGGGTGTCACGCCCACTCTAACGCCCACAATCGCCCATAGCAAAAAAACCGTCTAGCGCCCATGTTTCCATTTATTTTAAATTTAAACGAGATTTTGTTCTTCTTAACAATACCCATCTACATGCCATCTTCAATTCGGACTATTAAATAAACCAAATAACAATACTTAATTTGTAAACTAAGTAGAGTTTTCGAAAGTAGGCGCGTAATTCTATCGGTCCTTACAAATCTGTACTTTATCATTTACCTGTTTGGTCTTACACTGAATCGTATTTGTCGCGGATTCACTATAATTGTCCTCCACTTCAGGCTGCTCTTCGTACTGCTCCAAAAAGAAACGTTTTCTGGCGCGTGGCAGGATCTTTACAGTTTGGCTATTCAATTACGAATGCCTGCTGCCACTGCTAGCGTCCCTTCCGCTCTTGTGTCGTTCTCTTTTCTACTCTCCCCCACACTTTAAAAAACGCACCCATGAGAGCTTTCCGTTATGAACTGAAGGTCAAAAAAAAAGTTTCACTTGTGAATTACCTTGTGAATCCCGTGGGACATGTCCTCTTTCACAAGTGAACAAGTTCAAATGAAAATTTTTCGAAGTCCCACGGGATTTCACTTGTTCCTTATACTCATTTTTCGTATGGCCTGTCACGTGCCGATGACACGTCCCAAGTGAAATCACTTGTGAAAATTAGAATTTTTCAATGATTTTTTACTTATGAAAAAGAATTTAAAATACATACATTTTTATTTACTTTTCAATTTATTTTAATTAAATAGTGTTATTTAGGTTTTCTGTTAAAGCACAATTATTGTTAGTAAGCCTAGTTTTATGTTACGTTAATTTTCTTTTTACATTGGTCATCGCCTTCCTTAATCCTTTGTCCGGGTCCTCCAAATCCTTGGCCAACGCTCCGGAAAAAATGTTTAGGCATACATATGTTTAAAAAATGCGTTTTATTTGTTTATTTACATATGTATTTACCTTTTAGAGCTGTGTTTCACCCTTTGCAGGATTTTTATTGGCGCAAAACCCATTGAATACCTTCAAAATTTACGTACTTTAAACTAAGATCAATGCACAACATCTTAAACTTAATGTAACACCTACCTGACTTTATTATTTTCACTTTAAAAAACGAAAAAAGTAAATCTGCTGCGCACAACTTAAATGGCTTGCTTCCTTTTCAATAACTCAAACAGAATGAACCAAGTCTTCCTCTCACCCCTTTACTTGATTTCTTTTGTTTTCTTCGCCGTTGGCGCGTGCCCCTGCACCTATACCCTTTCTAAAGCGAAAAATATCCGACTGTATAATTTTTATTTCTTAAGTAAAATATACAATACGAAATTTCTAAAAACGGTAATATTAAAATGTTTTAAATATTTAAATCAATTTTAACGTACTCAGTTTCTATAACTTAACTAAAAAATTATACTGTAATATTAATGTATAATACGTAAGCATAATATTAAAAGTAAATTCGATTTACTTAATTTTACTATAATCAAATAATTTACTTTTATAAAACAATATTAGTTGTTTTTTTCGCTATACAATAATGCTCCTAAAAGATTAGGGCATGTCGCTGCGCCACGAAAATTTTTCGCCGAAGCATTAGTCGCTAGCCGAACATAACGAAGAGACGCAAACGAAATAACGGATCGGCCGAAATTTGTCTCTGAGAGCGCCGAGTGCAGGCAGATTATAAGACAAAGAGAGGGAACCTCCGAATATCTGCCTCTCTTTGTTGCACGATCGTTTTCGTAGGCAGTCTTCTACGCTGCGCCGACTTCTCTGCTGACGTCAACAGCGGCACAGCGTTTTAGGCACAAAAAAAAGACAAAAAGCTTTTTGCCTTGAGCCATGTCACCGCGTCCCTACTGCAGAACTGAAGGGTCGTTTTTGACGCGGCCACCAGCATCCTTCAATTTCGCTTACACCACCTCAATCTAGAGAGTATTTTATGTTTATCACCCAAAAATTCGATATATCGAGTATTTTTGATATGTTATATTTAAGTTAATTCTTTTGGCTTTTAAACTAAGCGAGTTCTTAAGAAATTGCGATTCCCATCTTTAAAATACTTTGCAAAAAATTTAATCCGTTTTGTAATTTATTCATTTACTTTTTTGCCTTTTCGGAGACATTTAGATATTTGACAAATAATTCTACGCAGGGATGTTCATAACCTAGCCGTTTTTCACAAGAATTTCGGTATTACCCTGTTTAAGCTATTTGTCTTTTTGAAATCACAAAAGAAAAGAATTTAGGTATGAAAAGCATTTTGGTCATTTTGAACGTCATTTCCGATCAGTGTGCCCTATTACGAAATATCAAAAATATTTTTTGATAATTTGATATTCGTTATATCAGAGGATAGAAATATCACGATATAGATATTATTTTTATTCAAAAAATGTCGATATATTGTTGTTTTGTTGTATTTTTCACATCCCTTCAACTTTGTGAATGGTCCTGCTGGCTGTCCTATCGCACTTTCCAGACCTATGAACAGAAGAAGGAAAAAAAGACTGCACCCGCCAGTGGTACACTCATTCCAGACTTAGACGCTTACACTGCCCCACTGCCCAAATTTTTGTTATGTGCTTATTTTTTAATAACACTTAATGTAAATCTTACCATGGGCGAAAGTCAATTGAGTTTCACAAATCACACACAAATAAAACTAATGGTAAGTTTAAAAAAAACAACAACTTTCTACTCGAATTAAAAATATATTTTTCATGTTTTTTTAATTCCAGTTCACAAATGTATTTGGCTTTAAATAATGATCACATTAATCACATTTAAAAAATTAAAAACAATGAAATCGCAAAAGTGAAAAAAAACAAAAAACCACTAAAGTGTACATCAAATCTAACAAACTCTTCAAAATATAAGAAAAAAAATATTAAATGGAAATATAAGAAAATAATTAAGCAAGCTTTCAAAAACTATAGAAAACTCAAAAAACTTAAAGTATAAACAAATTTAACAACAACTCATCCTGAAAAATATTTAAAAAACTCAAAACATTACCTAACAATTGAATCATGATATAAAAGAACTATACAAATTTTTTATTTATTTTTTAAATACAAACAAATAAATAAAGAAACCTGAAAAAGAAATCTAATGTCTACAGCGGGATTCGATCCCCATACAGCTTAGATTGGTAGTCATGTGTTATCCTCTAGGCAGTGTTGCCAGGTTTTCCAAAGCGAAAGTGGCCAAAAATTTTCTGAGAGTGCCAGAAAAAAAGCTTAAAATGTCAAAAAAATATGGCTAAATCAATATAATGTTCGTTTTTAACAGATATATCCATGTATTTAAGATTAATAATCTAAGATTACTTATAAATTAAAAAGGAACTTGGTTTCATTTCTTATCAAAAATAAATTAAAAAGGAACTTCGTTTCATTTCTTATCAAAAATAAATTTAAAAAAACTTGGTTTCAATATAAAATAAAAATCAAAAATTAAAATTAAAAACAAAAATTAAGAAGGTTTAATTACTTTAATTATACTTATTATTCGATCTAGTTCATCAGCGGCATCAACATCTGAGTATTTCTCTTTTCCAGCAATTTGCGTTAAATACTTATAGGGAAGAGCATAATTGTCGCAGCATTTTTCGTGTCGCGTAGTCCATATCTGTTAAAAATTCTGATGTTTATTATATCAATTTGTGTTTCCATTAAATATACTATATTTTAAACTAACCTTATATACAAAATCGCTTTTAATGTTTTTAGGCTCATGGCGTTGCGTAGTTTGCTCTTCACAATTTTCATCTGTGAGAATATTCGCTGGACTTCCTGGTTCACGGTTTTCGTCGACTGTCTGAGAAACGGCAATCTATTTTTTGGAGTAACTGCGCCCATCGCACCAACATGTTTTTTTAAGCCGGCTTGGTGGCGCACATCATAAATTTTGGCGCTTATTGTTGATTTGCAGTACGCGCAATAGGGTCTTTGTGGATTTGTACAAGCCCTACGACTCCAGTCTTCAAATTCTTCATTCTGCAGCCTGGCATCACGAAAACTTAGCTTATATTGTACTTTAGGTATCTTTAATACAGCACTTTATCACTTTAACAAGCCAAGCACACCGCAAAAAATGTAGAGGGACCAAACGATCTCAAATAGTTCATATACGCGAAGCACTCAGTTCCGATATCTTTGTGAACCACTGTTAATCGGAATTAGCTCAATCAATCTAAAAATGTCGAAAAAATAAAAGTTACAGACAATTTTAAAAATGGATACAAAAAATAAAATGACTTTATTTTTGGCTAGCAAATAAAAATAATGCAAATATTTTTCCAGAAATAGACATTTAGTGGCTAACCCGGCAGCACTGTCTCTAGGCAAAATGGCAAGCAGGCCCACGGCCGACTAGATTCCAACTAGAATCAAGCAATCAATGCTAGAGCCCTCCATACGACAGAATTTTTTGTATGACATGTTCCTCCTTTGTATTCATTTTCTTTGCTCTTACTCTACAAGTAACGGGTATTAAAAGAAGAGAAAATGTTATTGTCGATGGCCTCGACTATTAGATACCCGTTACTCAGCTTAAGACAGTGAGAGAGGGATGGTGTTATGCTTAAAACAACTCAGCTTTTTTCACTAACACACCTGGCTTATAGCGCCACATATCTTCTTCTTCCATAGCGTCACTTGACCTACAGTGCCAACATGCCTATAGCGCCCCTAGCGGCTTGGTGGCGTATTAGTAAAAACAGCTTATTTGCTGCGTGTGGTGTGCAATCTCTATTAAATTGCCATATATTGATTCTTATTTGGTTATAACTTTTTAATGACTGATCCGATTTCAACATGGAAATGGCTCGTTCGACTTGGCTAATGGTGTCCATTTTTCATTAGTATGGATTGCAATTTCATCAAGGAAAGATATACTACTGTTGGCAGCAAGTAAGGTGAATTTGTTTGTTATTCGATTTTTGTAGTGTGGGTCACTATAAATTCCTTCCACCCGGCCAAACATTTAATAAGGAATATTACTTGAGCGTCATGCGTCGTTTGCGTGAAGCAAGTCGTCTAAAGGATCAGAATAAACTGACAGACTGACAGACTGACAGACTGACAGACTGACAGACTGACAGACTGACAGACTGACAGACTGACAGACTGACAGACTGACAGACTGGACAGACTGACAGACTGACAGACTGACAGACTGACAGACTGACAGACTGACAGACTGACAGACTGACAGGACTGACAGACTGACAGACTGACAGACTGACAGACTGACAGACTGACAGACTGACAGACTGACAGACTGACAGACTGACAGACTGACAGACTGACAGACTGACAGACTGACAGACTGACAGACTGACAGACTGACAGACTGACAGACTGACAGACTGACAGACTGACAGACTGACAGACTGACAGACTGACAGACTGACAGACTGACAGACTGACAGACTGACAGACTGACAGACTGACAGACTGGACAGACTGACAGACTGACAGACTGACAGACTGACAGACTGACAGACTGACAGACTGGACAGACTGACAAGACTGACAGACTGACAGACTGACAGACTGACAGACTGACAGACTGACAGACTGACAGACTGACAGACTGACAGACTGACAGACTGACAGACTGACAGACTGACAGACTGACAGACTGACAGACTGACAGACTGACAGACTGACAGACTGACAGACTGACAGACTGACAGACTGACAGACTGACAGACTGACAGACTGACAGACTGGACAGACTGACAGACTGACAGACTGACAGACTGACAGACTGACAGACTGACAGACTGACAGACTGACAGACTGACAGACTGACAGACTGACAGACTGACAGACTGACAGACTGACAGACTGACAGACTGACAGACTGACAGACTGACAGACTGGACAGACTGACAGACTGACAGACTGACAGACTGACAGACTGACAGACTGACAGACTGACAGACTGACAGACTGACAGACTGACAGACTGACAGACTGACAGACTGACAGACTGACAGACTGACAGACTGACAGACTGACAGACTGACAGACTGACAGACTGACAGACTGACAGACTGACAGACTGACAGACTGACAGACTGACAGACTGACAGACTGACAGACTGACAGACTGACAGACTGACAGACTGACAGACTGACAGACTGACAGACTGACAGACTGACAGACTGACAGACTGACAGACTGACAGACTGACAGACTGACAGACTGACAGACTGACAGACTGACAGACTGGACAGACTGACAGACTGACAGACTGACAGACTGACAGACTGACAGACTGACAGACTGACAGACTGACAGACTGACAGACTGACAGACTGACAGACTGACAGACTGACAGACTGACAGACTGACAGACTGACAGACTGACAGACTGACAGACTGGACCAGACTGACAGACTGACAGACTGACAGACTGACAGACTGACAGACTGACAGACTGACAGACTGACAGACTGACAGACTGACAGACTGACAGACTGACAGACTGACAGACTGACAGACTGACAGACTGACAGACTGACAGACTGACAGACTGACAGACTGACAGACTGACAGACTGACAGACTGACAGACTGACAGACTGACAGACTGACAGACTGACAGACTGACAGACTGACAGACTGACAGACTGACAGACTGACAGACTGACAGACTGACAGACTGACAGACTGACAGACTGGACAGACTGACAGACTGACAGACTGACAGACTGACAGACTGACAGACTGACAGACTGACAGACTGACAGACTGACAGACTGACAGACTGACAGACTGACAGACTGACAGACTGACAGACTGGACAGACTGACAGACTGACAGACTGACAGACTGACAGACTGACAGACTGACAGACTGACAGACTGACAGACTGACAGACTGACAGGACTGACAGACTGACAGACTGACAGACTGACAGACTGACAGACTGACAGACTGACAGACTGACAGACTGACAGACTGACAGACTGACAGACTGACAGACTGACAGACTGACAGACTGACAGACTGACAGACTGACAGACTGACAGACTGACAGACTGACAGACTGACAGACTGACAGACTGACAGACTGACAGACTGACAGACTGACAGACTGACAGACTGACAGACTGACAGACTGACAGACTGACAGACTGACAGACTGACAGACTGACAGACTGACAGACTGACAGACTGACAGACTGACAGACTGACAGACTGACAGACTGACAGACTGACAGACTGACAGACTGACAGACTGACAGACTGACAGACTGACAGACTGACAGACTGACAGACTGACAGACTGACAGACTGACAGACTGACAGACTGACAGACTGACAGACTGACAGACTGACAGACTGACAGACTGACAGACTGACAGACTGACAGACTGACAGACTGACAGACTGACAGACTGACAGACTGACAGACTGACAGACTGACAGACTGACAGACTGACAGACTGACAGACTGACAGACTGACAGACTGACAGACTGACAGACTGACAGACTGACAGACTGACAGACTGACAGACTGACAGACTGACAGACTGACAGACTGACAGACTGACAGACTGACAGACTGACAGACTGACAGACTGACAGACTGACAGACTGACAGACTGACAGACTGACAGACTGACAGACTGACAGACTGACAGACTGACAGACTGGACAGACTGACAGACTGACAGACTGACAGACTGACAGACTGACAGACTGACAGACTGACAGACTGACAGACTGACAGACTGACAGACTGACAGACTGACAGACTGACAGACTGACAGACTGACAGACTGACAGACTGACAGACTGACAGACTGACAGACTGACAGACTGACAGACTGACAGACTGACAGACTGACAGACTGACAGACTGACAGACTGACAGACTGACAGACTGACAGACTGACAGACTGACAGACTGACAGACTGACAGACTGACAGACTGACAGACTGACAGACTGGACAGACTGACAGACTGACAGACTGACAGACTGACAGACTGACAGACTGACAGACTGACAGACTGACAGACTGACAGACTGACAGACTGACAGACTGACAGACTGACAGACTGACAGACTGACAGACTGACAGACTGACAGACTGACAGACTGACAGACTGACAGACTGACAGACTGACAGACTGACAGACTGACAGACTGACAGACTGACAGACTGACAGACTGACAGACTGACAGACTGACAGACTGACAGACTGACAGACTGACAGACTGACAGACTGACAGACTGACAGACTGACAGACTGACAGACTGACAGACTGACAGACTGACAGACTGACAGACTGACAGACTGACAGACTGACAGACTGACAGACTGACAGACTGACAGACTGACAGACTGACAGACTGACAGACTGACAGACTGACAGACTGACAGACTGACAGACTGACAGACTGACAGACTGACAGACTGACAGACTGACAGACTGACAGACTGACAGACTGACAGACTGACAGACTGACAGACTGACAGACTGACAGACTGACAGACTGACAGACTGACAGACTGACAGACTGACAGACTGACAGACTGACAGACTGACAGACTGACAGACTGACAGACTGACAGACTGACAGACTGACAGACTGACAGACTGACAGACTGACAGACTGACAGACTGACAGACTGACAGACTGACAGACTGACAGACTGACAGACTGACAGACTGACAGACTGACAGACTGACAGACTGACAGACTGACAGACTGACAGACTGACAGACTGGACAGACTGACAGACTGACAGACTGACAGACTGACAGACTGACAGACTGACAGACTGACAGACTGACAGACTGACAGACTGACAGACTGACAGACTGACAGACTGACAGACTGACAGACTGACAGACTGACAGACTGACAGACTGACAGACTGACAGACTGACAGACTGACAGACTGACAGACTGACAGACTGACAGACTGACAGACTGACAGACTGACAGACTGACAGACTGACAGACTGACAGACTGACAGACTGACAGACTGACAGACTGACAGACTGACAGACTGACAGACTGACAGACTGACAGACTGACAGACTGACAGACTGACAGACTGACAGACTGACAGACTGACAGACTGACAGACTGACAGACTGACAGACTGACAGACTGACAGACTGACAGACTGACAGACTGACAGACTGACAGACTGACAGACTGACAGACTGACAGACTGACAGACTGACAGACTGACAGACTGACA